GAATGATGTACAAATGAGCGTTCTTGCTCATTTTGCCTCCGAGAAATGAGCAAAAACGGGACGGAAAACATGAAATTTTGGCATAATCTTGAACCCAAGTGTTTGATATTCATATTTCGCTTTCTGGGTCAAAACTACTCGAATTTCCTCAAATTCATTGAATAAATCCACGCTTTCATCCCTTGGTTTCGTTTTTCCGTTGCGGAACGTGAGGAAAAAATATTTTTCCCGACGGCCTCAAGTGCGAAAACTTCACCAATTTCCCAGCGATCTTTAGACTCGTACTTTTGCTTGAATGAATGAACAATTTAATCCTTTAGGAGTAAACCAGGGGTTGATCTGGGAAACATCCAGCAACAGAGAAAAGGTTTACCACATGTTATTTATTGCAAGTTGTGGAGATGGCCAGAACTGCAGTCTCAGCACGAGTTGAGAGCGCTCGAGCACTGTGAATACGCCTTTTCCCTTAAAAAGGACGACATCTGTGTTAACCCGTATCATTATACAAGAATAGAGAGTCCAGGTGATGTTTCAACTTTGATATTGAAGAACTGTTGTGCTGATCGCTGGTGTTTTAGCTCTGCCTGTAATCTTGGTGCCAAGACTAGCTTGCGATGAGAATAGCATATTTCCACATTCTCTGGAGGATTTGAGCACTTCCGTACCAGAAAATACCTCCTTCCCACATAATACAAACAGTTTAGGGTGAGAAAATTGATTTAATTTGAACAAAAAACGCAAATCACTTAACCAATTGATTGCTGGTTTCAGTATTATGCAGCATTCGGGAGGATACATGGATTCGATTGGCATTTGCCCAAATGGAACCCCCACAGGCATGGAATCCCCGTTAAGTATTGTACCTCCTACAGAAACGCCTCCTCCTGGATATATGTCTGAGGATGGCGATCCAATCGACCCTAATGACAACATGAGTAAGTGTTGCATATGCAAAGAACATGTTTTCTGATTGATGATGATGATGATGATCATTTGCAGGCTTATCCAGACTAACCCCTAGTCCCCCTGTGGATGCACAACCCGTCATGTATTGCGAGCCGGCATTCTGGTGCAGCATAAGCTACTACGAGCTAAACACCCGAGTTGGGGAGACCTTTCATGCCAG